ATACCCAGAAATCGCCATGGAATCAGAGAAATGATGACGCGCACTGGATTTGGGCCCCAATTTTTGGACAGAGTCAAATGGTTGAAATAGTGTCCCAAGGAGTTTTTTTAAATAATGTACGTTGTCTCAACCAAATATGGTTGATCAATCTTCTTACCACTTGTGGGAACATAATATAGGTAGGACATATATCCGACAATTACGTTCCATGGTTTGCTTTTGATGATTGGTTGGTGATTTCCAAGCCTTGTAAAAATCATGGTTGTTTGGTGCCTGAAAAATGGTGGTTTAACCAGCACACATGGGGCTGCAAAACCAGCCGCAATGGGGATTTAACTGGGGAAAAAATTGACTCCTTGACAACTTGTTTTTTCACCAGCAAAAAATAATGTATGGGTACAAGACCAACCAATTTATGAAGATATAATACGGAAAAAACATAATATAGCCCCATGTACATCTCTTATTGATGTTTGATGATGACAGTTGGTTGGGACATGATGTTTTTTTTTTTTACTGGGCATACCTGATTTTTTTTGCTGCCACCCCACGAACTTGATGGCGAGAAGAACACATCCAGCATTTCGCCCCATATCCAACTCAAAACACCAAGATAGTTTCAATGTGTTTATGGGAGACAATATATCATATAGTAATATATATATATAATATAGTAAGATATAGTAACTATATCATCGCAGTCTGGTGCCACATTGGAACTCCAATTGGCTGATCCATGTGGCGTGTTCTCGCGGATTCCAGTTGGCATGGAACCGTTCCGTTCCGTTCCGTTTCAATCCCCGACAGCCACATTTCCCCCATGTGCCATACAAAATTGGATTCCAATGATTAGATGGATGACCAATGTCACTTGACCATGGCACAGTATCACATTGTTGGTTATACATCCCCAGTATGTCCCCATTATAATCCCACTCTATGGCCCCACTACATACATGTTATATTATAGACCATATATATATATGTATATCTCTCTCCCTGTTGTTTCCATGCTACTTCTGAAAGGATATTTCCAACATGATCTTCCATGTCTCAAGGCTTTTCCAGGATATCCCGGGCCCCTGTTCCGGTTCAATTCCCACGGGTAAGGTGCCGACCGATGGCACTTGGGCGACTTTGGGCCTGGGGGAGGCGTTGGGGAGTGGTTTTCCTAATAGTGGTTAATGTTAAGAGTGGTAAACCATGAGTTATAATGTTACAATGGCTATAACTATAATTATAAACGTGAGTTACTTATGAAAACCATTAGTAGTAGTGGTTAATGTTGCAACTATTACAACTTGACAATGTTACAACCATTAGTAATTGTAGTAGTAGCAACATTGTTAATAGTACTAGTACTAATTGTAGTTATGTTATTATTTTCGTTATTCTTAGTAACGTTGATAACCAATACTTTTTCATCCAAACTTTTAAATGGTCCCAATGTTTATTTATTTATTTTTATATCCCCTACATTGTGGCCGGTTTTTGTCATATGAACGCAGGAAGGGATGCTTATTAGTTATTAGTGATGGTTAGTTACTTTCTAATTACTTAGTAAGTAACTACGATTAAGTTATATACTATTTATAGTAACTATATCTAAAATAGCTATATTCCAAAACTATAAGTATATATATATATATACATAGTTGACTATGAATGAACCTGGTTTTGGGTTGACCACATAGCTGAAACTAAAAATAAACATTTACCACCTGTTTTATGGGTTGACCATCTAAATTATGTATTATAATTAGACTTTCTACCACATATCAATTTCTGCCAAATAGTCACTTCCCAAGTATGAATATGGAAATGGACATTGGGAATGTTTGGAAGACTGCATATTCTTTAGCAAAACCCGAAGAGTGATGGATATGGACACCTATGGGTACTGTATTTGTTGAGTATGAAGGACAGAGCAGAGAATAGTCAAAGTAAATGGGCCAATTTCCATAGCAAAGTGTCACAGTCACCAGGAGATAAGCTATCACTTGATCATCCTATGGCCTGGTCATTAAATATGGTTGGTATGTTATAGCCCATTTCCATCTGGAAACCCACACATACAAATCAGGGAGTCACGAACTAGGACTATTGACCTGCTAAGTGGGGATGATCCAGCCCTCATACCCCTAGAGTTTGAGTTATTTTTTCTAGGATTCCTGCAGATTTTCGGAGATTTTGAGTTTTCCTTCAGGGTGAGCCATCCAATTTTGAAACATTTGTAGCTATATCAGACATTTTGAAGATCTTGTTTTTCTTTCTTTAATCTTTTAATTTTCTGAAACTTAGGTGGAGTGAATGTGGGGCATTGACGCCAAATCACATATGTTTGGAGAAAATACACCTATAAAATAATATCATATCGTTGCTTAAAAATCATTTATATATGGCCTTGCATTTCTATTTCTGTCGGTCAAATATCCTATAGTTCAATCCACATTTTTGTTGCTCCAATTCCACATTGCTGAGACATAATCTGAGATACAATCCGATATTTCCCCATATTTTGGACACAGGCAACTAACCCCTTGTTGGTTATATAACACCACGATATCCACATGGTTGGTTTTATAGCCATATACCCAGTATATCCTATACTTTTTTTCGAATATATAAATCCCGAAACAAATCCGTAGAAATTGTAGAAATTCCATAATTCCCGAAAAACATAATCTATAATTTCTCTAAAATCGTTATAAATCTCCCTAAAATCCCGGAGAAACCCGAATCAAACGCTTGACATTGCCCACTGACTCTGGCTCGAGATGGCGCGCCAGTCGGCACCGGGCGAGATTTTCACGGGGCGCCATGAATCCGAAGCATCTTGGAGGGAGGGAAAAATGGAGGTTTTAGCCGATTTTAGCCAGAAACCATGTTGGATTTAGCAAAAATGGAGGATTTCAGCAGTGATTTTTGGTGGACATCACTGGGCATGGAAAAAAGAGGTGTCTACACACTGGTGACCATGACACACTTGTGGTGTAAAATTGCAAACAACATGTTTAGGGGGAATGTTTTTTTTTCAATGCCCGCCAAATGGTAAGTGATTGGGTAAATTTTGCTATGGATCATGGGGAATACGGCATGGAAAAACAACTGGGTGCCAGACATCCAAGATTGTTGTGGCAGATGTGGCAATTTTTTGTTGTGCAAAATACCTGGCTTTGTTCAAAACCCAAAATTTGATGCTTAATCATATATATATGAATGATGCACAAACACAAGGATTAATATATGGATTTTAACCTATCTATATTAATAAATAACAATGCAATGACTACGAAAATTTGATGCTTACCCTCTGGTAAACGTTGACAAAAAACTATGGAAAATCACCAGCATTTTTACGGGGAACATCCACTATTTCGACTGGGCCATGTTCAATAGCTTTTTGTATGTTTACCAGAGGGTATATCCCATTAAAACCACCATTTTTGTTGGTTAAATCCCATTAAACCACCATTTATCCCATTAAAACCAGAGGGTATAACATACACCTAAAATCATAGTCTGCCTGAGTTCGGATTTTCTTCCCAACCACGTACGATGGAATCCGGTACGACCCCCGTTTCAAAACAACAACCGTCTAAAACTGTTATGGTGTTTTTTTTCACTCCCTTTTCAGACACAGATATCATATTGTTGACAAGAAATTCATACCCACTTAGACAATCTATAGTCTAATATTCAATAATATCAATATGAATCAATATGAATCATTCAAAAATAATTGATTATCTACGTATGTATATATATATATACCCATAGTATATAGATCATATGCCCATAAGTGACAGTAAATAGCCATAGCCTCTGGGATTTCCAGCCAGATCTCGGCCGTTTTTTGAGGTTTGGTAAAGCCGCTCCACGTCATGCTACAGGACCGGCCAAAGAGTACCAGGTCCTCCATAAATGGTTTGCGAAAAATATCCTGTTAATCCATTTGATCCATACGAAATATAAATCTATCTATATATATATACATATGTACGTACATATATATATATGTATATGTTTATATATATATACACCTATATGCGTATACATACATACATACATACATACATACATACATACATACATACATACAGACACACACACACACATACACACATACATACACACATACATACACATACATACACATACATACACATACATACACATACGTACACATACGTACACATACGTACACATACGTACACATACGTACACATACGTACACATACGTACACATACGTACACATACGTACACATACATACACATACATACACATACATACACATACATACACATACATACACATACATACATACATACAACATACACAAACATACACATACATACACATACATACACATACATACACATACATACACATACATACACATACATACACATACATACACACACACATACACACACACATACAAACACACATACACATACATACACACACATACACATACACATACACATACACATACACATACACATACACATACACATACACATACACATACACATACACATACACATACATACATACATACATACATACATACATACATACATACACATACATACATATTCACACACACACACATACATACATACATACATGCATACATACATACATACATACTTACATACATACATACATACATACATGGGGTACGCCCATCCATTTTATTTTCAGATTTTCCATGAAATAACGCATCCAGCGAAAAAGGGGTACCCCCGAATACCCCAAACAAACACCTGGTGAAACCAGGCTTTCTAATCACTTGGGATTCCGAGTCATGAACAACCAGAGTTTCTGGAGAGGTGTTTATAGGACTAATCCACCGACCAAGCGGGACTGATGGTTCCGAAGAAATCGAAGGCTATTATATCATCCTGTCAATTGAGAAAACACAGTCATCTATGAATCAATGAATGTAGCTTTGGCTCCAAATGCGCAGTGGTTATTTTCAGCGACCTTGTCATGGCAGCCCTCCGATACTTCAACACCTTCATTGATGAGGAACCAAGTGGGAACCTCCTTGAATCTCGTTCCAAGAGCTGGCCACAACTTGGTGGCACGGGACATGCTACGGAGGAGATAGAGGAAATGGAGACGCAAGCTGCCAACCATGTTGCCGAGTTGCAGGGCAAATGGAGCAGCTTTGGTGAACGGCACCCGATGTCCCCGAAACCACAGCCGAATCGCTCGGCCAACAAAGGCAGCCGTGGTCATCCAGTAGTGTGCCGCCGGCCTTGCATCCGCTTCGCGAAGGGAGACTGCGAACTGGGAGATGCTTGTGGCTATTGCCACCACCAGCATCCTCGCTATGTCACCCCAAACAAAAGCCAGCGGCTTAAGTTGGACTGCATGGACCCTTGGTCTCTCTTGCTCTGTTTCTTGTTTGTTGCTGCACATTGACGCAGTATAAATGTGGGGTGCCCCCTGAAAAACTCAGTAACATTCCACAACTGTGCGATCTGGTAGCCTGGTAGCCTTGAAGGATGCCAAGGAATGAGTCGATGTTGTCTTGCAAACTCAGCGTAGAAAATAGATCTCCACGAACAGACTGTGTGTTTCATGTTGGGCTAGTCGGTCATCGATCCACATGTTTTTTGCGTTTTTCTAGAGCCCAGACGACTTCGTTCTGATAATTGTTTGACTTCCAATCCGTGTACAATAGCATCCAACTCGGTCAATCAAAGCGCCTTTGCCGCAAAGAAATTGGCAGTCGTCAGGAATCAGAAAACAATGGAAAACACTTCAAAATGACACTTCAAAACAAGACGCCAACACGGCTTTATCGTTTACATTCGTTTTCAGTTGTTGAACAGAGGAAACATCATGCTATGGAAAGAATTCAACAAGCACGCAATCGCAAGCAAAACCGTCACTTCGACCAACAACGACCTTTCATTTTCATTGACCCAGAGAAAAGACCCAACCCCAGATGAAATGGGAAGAACTTATATATGATATATATATCATATATATATAATATGATATATATATATATATGATATATATATATATGATATATATATATATGATATATATATATATATATGTATGTATGTATGTATGTATGTATGTATGCATGTATGTATGTAAGAAAAAATTCCTGGAGGATTTTCACCGTTTTGAGGAGACAGGCGAACTTCTGGCGGTGCTCTTGCCTCATGTTCGTCGTTCTATTGAAGCGGCCCAGATTGAAGCTACCAACATCATTGAGATGCTGGAAGGGGAAGTCGGTTCAACGGCTCCCAGTGTGGATCGCACGCTACATAGGACCTTGAGACAGATGCCTCTATCAGCACTTCTTGGCTTGATCATGCCGAGAGATGATGCCTTTGGGGCCTTGCTTGAACAAGAGGTCGAAGTGCTGCGCTGCCGTCTGGGCTGAACATGGGTGGCTCCATGTGCCAGTACATTTTTGAAGCCGCCACAACATGTGCCTTGAAGTTACAGCTGGTTGGTTCTGGGTTTCAACTGACTTGTGAGTATCCATATGTATTCATCCACTTTCAGAATGGTAAGACTATGATCTCAATTGAATTTGTGGCAACAGGTTGCAGTTTCAGACTGGTTGCAACGGCATCAAGGTGTTCCAACGATTCTCATTGATTGAATCAATTGGGGCATTTTGAGTATTCTCAACGATTCTAATGCTCTTTCCTAACATTTCTTTGATATCGCTGGTTTTTGCAGACTTTGGCTCCAATTCCTGGTCTTCGAGGCTCGCTTGTTGCGCTGTCTTGTGGCGAGGGCTGCAGGGCTGGAGGGCAGTTTGCGCCGCTGAATGTGGCTCAATGTGCCAGTACATTTTTGAAGCCGCCACAACATGTGCCTTGAAGTTACAGCTGGTTGGTTCTGGGTTTCAACTGACTTGTGAGTATCCATATGTATTCATCCATTTTCAGAATGGTAAAACTATGATCTCAATTGAATTTGTGCCTCCGGGTTGCAGTTTCAGACTGGTTGCAACGGCATCAAGGTGTTCCAACGATTCTCATTGATTGAATCAATTGGGGCATTTTGAGTATTCTCAACGATTCTAATGCTCTTTCCTAACATTTCTTTGATATCGCTGGTTTTTGCAGACTTTGGCTCCAATTCCGTCGAGGCTCGCTTGTTGCGCTGTGTTGTGGCAGAGCTCGGATTCTCAAAGATATTCGTCTTGGGATGCGCTGTGCAGCACATGGGATTTGCTCGAACAAGAGGTTGAAGTGCTGCGCTGCTGTCTGGGCTGAACATGGTCCTCTGAGCGCAGGAGAAACGAGCTGGCTCGAGGGCTGCAGGGCTGGAGGGCAGTTTGTGCCGCTGAATGTGGCTCAATGTGCCAGTGCCAGTACAATTTTGAGAGCTTGGATTCTCGAAGAATATTCGATGTCCATCGGCTCCCACGGAACTTGGGAGGATCCATGATATCCAAGTTTCAGTCTTTATCAATCAAGTGGCAAATATGAATAAATTGAAAAAATGATCCCTCCAAGTGGTGATTGGATCATATAGGATCCATCTGCTTCTGTCTTGGGATACGCTGTGCAGTACTGTAGACACTGCCTCGTATCTTGAAATTTCTTTCGCTCTGCGATCTGTCCAATTGGCGAATCGGTCCAATCGGCGAATCGGTCCGGACAGCGCAGAAAAGAATGCTCAATCCAGAGAGACTGTCAAGACTCTAACTCCCAACTTTTGTCAGTTAAATCATGTCAACTCAGGGGTTGGTAAGTGTACTGATTTTTCACATGATCCAACAAAACAAGAGGATAGGATATGTTCAAAAACGCCAAAAACCGGACATTTCCCACTCGCTGTTTTGATAGAACTTCCGATAAGACATCGTCATCCCATTCTGGATATTCCGGTGGAGTCACTGGAGATCTAAATCATCCTAACATCCCAACATCCCAATTTCTTTTTTTCTTGGTGTCCCAACTAGCACTGATTTTTCCACAGGATGAGTAAAGCATCCAGCTATTGTGGCACCCCCGTATACTCCAAACAGAAACCTGGTGAAACCAGGCTTACTAATCACTTGGGATTCCTGGGATTTAGGACCCCGAGTCATGAACAACCAGAGTTTCTGGAGAGGTGTTTATAGGACCAATCCACCGACCAAGTGGGACTGATGGTTCCGAAGAAATCGAAGGCTATCATATCATCCTGTCAATTGAGAAAACACAGTCATCTATGAATCACTGAATGTAGCTTTGGCAAACTTTGGGCTCCAGAGGCACAGTGGTTATTTTCAGCGACCTTGTCATGGCAACCCTCCGATACTTCAACACCTTCATTGATGAGGAACCAAGTGGGAACCTCCTTGAATCTCGTTCCAAGAGCTGGCCACAACTTGGTGGCACGGGACATGCTACGGAGGAGATAGAGGAAATGGAGACGCAAGCTGCCAACCATGTTGCCGAGTTGCAGGGCAAATGGAGCACCTTTGGTGAACGGCACCCGATGTCCCCGAAACCACAGCCGAATCGCTCGGCCAACAAAGGCAGCCGTGGTCATCCAGTAGTGTGCCGCCGGCCTTGCATCCGCTTCGCGAAGGGAGACTGCGAAGTGGGAGATGCTTGTGGCTATTGCCACCACCAGCATCCTCGCTATGTAACCCCAAACAAAAGCCAGCGGCTTAAGTTGGACTGCATGGACCCTTGGTTTCTATCGCTCTGTTTCTTGTTTGTTGCTGCACATTGACGCAGTATAAATGTGGGGTGCCCCCCGAAAATCTCAGTAACATTCCACAACTGTGCGATCTGGTAGCCTGGTAGCCTTGAAGGATGCCAAGGAATGAGTCGATGTTGTCTTGCAAACTCAGCCTAGAAAAATATATCTCCACGAACAGACTGTGTGTTTCATGTTGGGCTAGTCGGTCATCGATCCACATGTTTTTTGTGTTTTTCTAGAGCCCAGACGACTTCGTTCTGATAATTTTTTGACTTCCAATCCGTGTACAATAGCATCCAACTCGGTCAATGAAAGCGCCTTTGCCGCAAAGAAATTGGCAGTCGTCAGGAATCAGAAAACAATGGAAAACACTTGAAAACGACACTTCAAAACAAGACACCAACAAGGCTTTATCGTTTACATTCGTTTACAGTTGTTGAACAGAGCAAACATCATGCTATGGAAAGAATTCAACAAGCACGCAATCGCAAGCAAAACCGTCACTTCGACCAACAATGACCTTTCATTTTCATTGACCCAGAGACAAGAACCCCAGATGAAATGGGAAGAACATATATATATATATATATGCTGTATGTATACATAAATATGTATATATATGTACATATATTTGTGCATATACATACATATATATATGTATATATAGCCTCGTCCAGGCTTCTGGAACTACCTAAACCTGAATTAGGTTGGTAAAACTTGTCCATTCCGTGACGAAATTTCGTCGCGGAATTAACAAGTTTCATTTGGGTCATGTTCATCATCATCATCCTCATCATCATCATCATCAACATCATCATCATCCCATCCCACCCCACCCCCCCCCACCACCGCGTGTGCGTAGCATCAACTGCTGCCGCAAGTTCACATGAACGTTAACATCCCACCCCCCCCCCCCCCCCCACCCCGGTAGTTCCAGAAGCCTGGACAAGCCTATACATATATACATACATACATACATACATACATACATACATACATACCTACGTACATACATACGTACATACATACATACATACATACATACACACACACACATCTGAATGTACATCTGTTGCAAGTGCGGTACAAAAAGGCGAACCTTCTCGTGAGCGACTGGTGAAAGTGTATGCATGCATTGAGATTGCACGTTTTCGCTTATCAGCTTCCACTCTACACCCTTCACCCTTCACCCAGAAAATTTGCCTGGAGGATTTTCACCGTTTTGTTTGTTTTTTCGTGTTTTTGAGGAGACAGGCGAACTTCTGGCGGTGCTCTTGCCATATGTTCGTCGTTCTATTGAAGTGGCCCAGATTGAAGCTACCAACATCATTGAGATGCTGGAAGGGGAAGTCGGTTCAACGGCTCCCAGTGTGGATCGCACGCTACATAGGACCTTGAGACAGATGCCTCTATCAGCACTTCTTGGCTTGATCATGCCGAGAGATGATGTCTTTGGGGCCTTGCTTGAACAAGAGGTCGAAGTGCTGCGCTGCCGTCTGGGCTGAACATGGGTGGCTCCATGTGCCAGTACATTTTTGAAGCCGCCACAACATGTGCCTTGAAGTTACAGCTGGTTGGTTCTGGGTTTCAACTGACATGTGAGTATCCATATGTATTCATCCACTTTCAGAATGGTAAGACTTGAATTTGTGGCAACAGGTTGCAGTTTCAGACTGGTTGCAACGGCATCAAGGTGTTCCAACGATTCTCATTGATTGAATCAATTGGGGCATTCTCAACGATTCTCATACTTTCTTCCTAACATTTCTTTGATATCGCTGGTTGTCCAGACTTTGGCTCCAATTCCTGGTCTTCGAGGCTCGCTTGTTGCGCTGTCTTGTGGCGAGGGCTGCAGGGCTGGACGGCAGTTTGCGCCGCTGAATGTGGCTCAATGTGCCAGTACATTTTTGAAGCCGCCACAACATGTGCCTTGAAGTTACAGCTGGTTGGTTCTGGGTTTCAACTGACTTGTGAGTATCCATATGTATTCATCCATTTTCAGAATGGTAAAACTATGATCTCAATTGAATTTGTGCCTCGGGTTGCAGTTTCAGACTGGTTGCAACGGCATCAAGGTGTTCCAACGATTCTCATTGATTGAATCAATTGGGGCATTTTGAGTATTCTCAACGATTCTAATGCTCTTTCCTATAACATTTCTTTGATATCGCTGGTTTTTGCAGACTTTGGCTCCAATTCCGTCGAGGCTCGCTTGTTGCGCTGTGTTGTGGCAGAGCTCGGATTCTCAAAGATATTCGTCTTGGGATGCGCTGTGCAGCACATGGGATTTGCTCGAACAAGAGGTTGAAGTGCTGCGCTGCTGTCTGGGCTGAACATGGTCCTCTGAGCGCAGGAGAAACGAGCTGGCTCGAGGGCTGCAGGGCTGGAGGGCAGTTTGTGCCGCTGAATGTGGCTCAATGTGCCAGTGCCAGTACAATTTTGAGAGCTTGGATTCTCGAAGAATATTCAATGTCCATCGGCTCCCACGGAACTTGGGAGGATCCATGATATCCAAGTTTCAGTCTTTATCAAGTGGCAAATATGAATAAATTGAAAAAATGATCCCTCCAAGTGGTGATTGGATCATATAGGATCCATCTGCTTCTGTCTTGGGATGCGCTGTGCAGTACTGTAGACACTGCCTCGTATCTTGAAATTTCTTTCGCTCTGCGATCTGTCCAATTGGCGAATCGGTCCAATCGGCGAATCGGTCCGGACAGCGCAGAAAAGAATGCTCAATCCAGAGAGACTGTCAAGACTCTAACTCCCAACTTTTGTCAGTTAAATCATGTCAACTCAGGGGTTGGTAAGTATACTGATTTTTCACATGATCCAACAAAACAAGAGGATATGTTCAAAAACGCCAAAAACCGGACATTTCCCACTCGCTGTTTGATAGAAATTCCGATAAGACATCGTCATCCCATTCTGGGAATTCCGGTGGAGTCACTGGAGATCTAAATCATCCTAACATCCCAACATCCCAGATGAGTAAAGCATCCAGCTATTGTGGCACCACCGTATACTCCAAACAGAAACCTGGTGAAACCAGGCTTCCTAATCACTTGGGATTCCTGGGATATAGGACCCCGAGTCATGAACAACCAGAGTTTCTGGAGAGGTGTTTATAGGACCAATCCACCGACCAAGTGGGACTGATGGTTCCGAAGAAATCGAAGGCTATCATATCATCCTGTCAATTGAGAAAACACAGTCATCTATGAATCACTGAAGGTAGCTTTGGCAAACTTTGGGCTCCAGAGGCACAGTGGTTATTTTCAGCGACCTTGTCATGGCAACCCTCCGATACTTCAACACCTTCATTGATGAGGAACCAAGTGGGAACCTCCTTGAATCTCGTTCCAAGAGCTGGCCACAACTTGGTGGCACGGGACATGCTACGGAGGAGATAGAGGAAATGGAGACGCAAGCTGCCAACCATGTTGCCGAGTTGCAGGGCAAATGGAGCACCTTTGGTGAACGGCACCCGATGTCCCCGAAACCACAGCCGAATCGCTCGGCCAACAAAGGCAGCCGTGGTCATCCAGTAGTGTGCCGCCGGCCTTGCATCCGCTTCGCGAAGGGAGACTGCGAACTGGGAGATGCTTGTGGCTATTGCCACCACCAGCATCCTCGCTATGTAACCCCAAACAAACGCCAGCGGCTTAAGTTGGACTGCATGGACCCTTGGTCTCTATTGCTCTGTTTCTTGTTTGTTGCTGCACATTGACGCAGTATAAATGTGGGATGCCCCCCGAAAATCTCAGTAACATTCCACAACTGTGCGATCTGGTAGCCTGGTAGCCTTGAAGGATGCCAAGGAATGAGTCGATGTTGTCTTGCAAACTCAGCCTAGAAAATATATCTCCACGAACAGACTGTGTGTTTCATGTTGGGCTAGTCGGTCATCGATCCACATGTTTTTTGTGTTTCTAGAGCCCAGACGACTTCGTTCTGATAATTTTTTGACTTCCAATCCGTGTACAATAGCATCCAACTCGGTCAATGAAAGCGCCTTTGGCGCAAAGAAATTGGCAGTCGTCAGGAATCAAAAAACAATGGAAAACACTTGAAAACGACATTTCAAAACAAGACACCAACACGGCTTTATCGTTTTCAGTTGTTGAACAGAGGAAACATCATGCTATGGAAAGAATTCAACAAGCACGCAATCGCAAGCAAAACCGTCACTTCGACCAACAACGACCTTTCATTTTCATTGACCCAGAGAAAAGACCCAACCCCAGATGAAATGGGAAGAACTTATATATGATATATATATATATGATATATATATGATATATATAATATGATATATATATGATATATATATATATGATATATATATAATATGATTTATATATGTATGATATATATATATACATATGATATATATATATGATATATATGTATGTATGTATGTAATGTAATGTAATGTAATGTAATGTAATGTAATGTATGTATGTAAGAAAAAAATCCTGGAGGATTTTCACCGTTTTGAGGAGACAGGCGAACTTCTGGCGGTGCTCTTGCCTCATGTTCGTCGTTCTATTGAAGCGGCCCAGATTGAAGCTACCAACATCATTGAGATGCTGGAAGGGAAAGTCGGTTCAACGGCTCCCAGTGTGGATCGCACGCTACATAGGACCTTGAGACAGATGCCTCTATCAGCACTTCTTGGCTTGATCATGCCGAGAGATGATGCCTTTGGGGCCTTGCTTGAACAAGAGGTCGAAGTGCTGCGCTGCCGTCTGGGCTGAACATGGGTGGCTCCATGTGCCAGTACATTTTTGAAGCCGCCACAACATGTGCCTTGAAGTTACAGCTGGTTGGTTCTGGGTTTCAACTGACTTGTGAGTATCCATATGTATTCATCCACTTTCAGAATGGTAAGACTATGATCTCAATTGAATTTGTGGCAACAGGTTGCAGTTTCAGACTGGTTGCGACGGCATCAAGGTGTTCCAACGATTCTCATTGATTGAATCAATTGGGGCATTTTGAGTATTCTCAACGATTCTAATGCTCTTTCCTAACATTTCTTTGATATCGCTGGTTTTTGCAGACTTTGGCTCCAATTCCGTCGAGGCTCGCTTGTTGCGCTGTGTTGTGGCAGAGCTCGGATTCTCAAAGATATTCGTCTTGGGATGCGCTGTGCAGCACATGGGATTTGCTCGAACAAGAGGTTGAAGTGCTGCGCTGCTGTCTGGGCTGAACATGGTCCTCTGAGCGCAGCAGAAACGAGCTGGCTCGAGGGCTGCAGGGCTGGAGGGCAGTTTGTGCCGCTGAATGTGGCTCAATGTGCCAGTGCCAGTACAATTTTGAGAGCTTGGATTCTCGAAGAATATTCGATGTCCATCGGCTCCCACGGAACTTGGGAGGATCCATGATATCCAAGTTTCAGTCTTTATCAAGTGGCAAATATGAATAAATTGAAAAAATGATCCCTCCAAGTGGTGATTGGATCATATAGGATCCATCTGCTTCTGTCTTGGGATGCGCTGTGCAGTACTGTAGACACTGCCTCGTATCTTGAAATTTCTTTCGCTCTGCGATCTGTCCAATTGGCGAATCGGTCCAATCGGCGAATCGGTCCGGACAGCGCAGAAAAGAATGCTCAATCCAGAGAGACTGTCAAGACTCTAACTCCCAACTTTTGTCAGTTAAATCATGTCAACTCAGGGGTTGGTAAGTGTACTGATTTTTCACATGATCCAACAAAACAAGAGGATATGTTCAAAAACGCCAAAAACCGGACATTTCCCACTCGCTGTTTTGATAGAAATTCCGATAAGACATCGTCATCCCATTCTGGGAATTCCGGTGGAGTCACTGGAGATCTAAATCATCCTAACATCCCAACATCCCAATTTCTTTTTTTCTTGGTGTCCCAACTAGCACTGATTTTTCCACAGGATGAGTAAAGCATCCAGCTATTGTGGCACCCCCGTATACTCCAAACAGAAACCTGGTGAAACCAGGCTTTCTAATCACTTGGGATTCCTGGGATATAGGACCCCAAGTCATGAACAACCAGAGTTTCTGGAGAGGTGTTTATAGGACCAATCCACCGACCAAGTGGGACTGATGGTTCCGAAGAAATCGAAGGCTATCATATCATCCTGTCAATTGAGAAACACTGTCATCTATGAATCACTGAATGTAGCTTTGGCAAACTTTGGGCTCCAGAGGCACAGTGGTTATTTTCAGCGACCTTGTCATGGCAACCCTCCGATACTTCAACACCTTCATTGATGAGGAACCAAGTGGGAACCTCCTTGAATCTCGTTCCAAGAGCTGGCCACAACTTGGTGGCACGGGACATGCTACGGAGGAGATAGAGGAAATGGAGACGCAAGCTGCCAACCATGTTGCCGAGTTGCAGGGCAAATGGAGCACCTTTGGTGAACGGCACCCGATGTCCCCGAAACCACAGCCGAATCGCTCGGCCAACAAAGGCAGCCGTGGTCATCCTGTAGTGTGCCGCCGGCCTTGCATCCGCTTCGCGAAGGGAGACTGCGAACTGGGAGATGCTTGTGGCTATTGCCACCACCAGCATCCTCGCTATGTAACCCCAAACAAAAGCCAGCGGCTTAAGTTGGACTGCATGGACCCTTGGTTTCTATCGCTCTGTTTCTTGTTTGTTGCTGCACATTGACGCAGTATAAATGTGGGATGCCCCCCGAAAATCTCAGTAACATTCCACAACTGTGCGATCTGGTAGCCTGGTAGCCTTGAAGGATGCCAAGGAATGAGTCGATGTTGTCTTGCAAACTCAGCCTAGAAAATATATCTCCACGAACAGACTGTGTGTTTCATGTTGGGCTAGTCGGTCATCGATCCACATGTTTTTTGTGTTTTTCTAGAGCCCAGACGACTTCGTTCTGATAATTTTTTGACTTCCAATCCGTGTACAATAGCATCCAACTCGGTCAATGAAAGCGCCTTTGCCGCAAAGAAATTGGCAGTCGTCAGGAATCAGAAAACAATGGAAAACACTTGAAAACGACATTTCAAAACAAGACACCAACACGGCTTTATCGTTTTCAGTTGTTGAACAGAGGAAACATCATGCTATGGAAAGAATTCAACAAGCACGCAATCGCAAGCAAAACCGTCACTTCGACCAACAACGACCTTTCATTATCATTGACCCAGAGAAAAGACCCAACCCCAGATGAAATGGGAAGAACTTATATATGATATATATAAATATGATATATATATATATATATATGTAATGTATGTATGTATGTATGTATGTATGTATGTGTGTATGTATGTATGTATGTATGTATGTGTGTATGTATGTATGTGTATGTATGTATGTGTATGTAT